GGCGAACATGGCTACATGCGTTGGGAGCGGTGCACTCCACTTTCCATCAGAAGTTAAAATTCACCACGTCGGAGGGTATCATGGAGATCCGGGGGGACCAAGCATCCGCAAAGAACTGTTTTTATTCGGCCGTCCGAGCCGGGGCGTCCAGCCAGGAGAAGGGGCGAGCACCGGAAGAGATTATGGAAAAATAGCAATTACAGTCCGGGCGTCCAGGAATGGATGACCCCCGGATAGACCCAACTGAACGGTCGGTTGAAGACCTCCGGAAGGTGCCCTTGGTAGAGGGAGAAGAGGAAAGGTATTTCTTAGTGGGGACCTCGATGTCGACAGCCGAATAGGAGGAGATGATCGAGTTTCTCAGGAAAAATACAGACGTGTTCGCCTGGAACGAGATGGAAATGACGGGGGTAGACCCCGAGATAATCACTCACAGGCTGCATGTTGACCCGTCGCACAAGCCAGTCAAGCAGAGGTCACGACGCATGGCCCCGCATCACACCAACGCGGTCAACGAGGAAATCGACAAACTCCTGAAGGCCGATGCCATTCGAGAGATACAGTTCCCAGAATGGCTGTCCAATACGGTATACGCAAAGAAGAAATGGGGGAAATGGCGTATCTGCGTAGATTTTACAGATCTGAACAAGGCATGTCCCAAGGATGACTACCCCCTGCCTAATGTGGACCAGCTGGTAGACGCCACAGCCGGATATGAACGAATGGACTTCCTGGATGCCCGAGCAGGATATCATCAGATCCCTCTCTATGCCCTGGATCAAGAAAAGACGACGTTTATCACTCCGAAAGGAGTTTATTGTTACAAAGTGATGTCGTTTGGACTGAAGAACGCCTGGGCAACATACCAAAGACTGATGAATCGGATGTTCAAAAAGCAGATCGGCAACATCATGGAGGTCTACATAGATGATATGCTGGTGAAGAGCAAACGGAGTTGTGATCATCTAACAGATTTGGCGGATACCTTCTCCACCCTCAGAGAGTATGGACTGAAGCTGAATGCGTCGAAGTGCGTTTTCGGAGTGGAGTCTGGTAAATTCCTCGGATATCTGGTTAGCCAACGAGGAATCGAAGCCAACCCGGATCAGATTAAAGCGATCCTGGACATCCGAAGCCCTCGCACTGTCCGAGAAGTCCAGAAACTCACAGGGATGCTGGCTGCACTTAACCGTTTCGTCTCACGCTCCTCGGATAAATGCAAACCTTTTTTTGGAGCAATCAAAAGTGCTGGGAAGAATATGTGGAGCCAGGGTGCGAGGACGCCCTGGCTGGGATCAAAGAATACCTAAGGACTCTTCCAACCCTGTCCGTCCCCATCCAGGGGGAGATGTTGTTCCTGTACCTGGCAGTTTCTGAGTTTGCGGTAAGCGGGGTATTTATCCGTGACCATGAGCACCGCCAGAAGCCAATTTACTATATAAGCAAGGCACTCCTGGATGTCGAGACAAGATATCTACCCCTGGAGAAACTGGCTCTGTCCTTGGTCACCACTGCGAGGAAACTGCGGCATTATTTTCAGGCGCACCCAATCACTGTCCTGACCGATCAGCCCTTGAAAGCAATCTTGAGAAAGGCGCTTGATCAGGTCGCTAGTGGGTACCTCCTCCTTTGAGTGCAAGGGCTTATATGCGAGGGGGGAAGACGACTCTCTTCCGATGTGGGATTGCCTTAGGAAAGGGTCCTATTGGCGAAGAGAGGTAAAAGGCTACTGGGGCTCGGTGCCGCCAGGTCAGCCGGAATCCTTCAAGTGGAGGGATGAGATCCGTAGCGATTTCTACCCCTTACAAGAATAGTTTCAATCTGGGCTTTGAGTCCAAATCCCTTTTCGAACAATGAAACCCTTTTCGGAGTTTTCGGTCTAATTTTTGGTGCAATTTCAGTGTGGTTTTTTGTGGATTTTGAGTCCGATTTTTGGTGCAGTTGCAGTGGGGTTTCGGTGGGTTTTTAGTCTGATTATTGGTGCAGTTGCAGTAGGGTCTAGTTTTAGGGGGGGTTTTGGTGGAGATTCAGTGGGAGCACGGGGGGAGAGAGAGAGAGGGAGAGAGAGCCCAATTAGAGAGAGTCCATACCTGGGTCTTGGAAAAAGACGCCACAGTCAGTCTCCCTCTATGATTATGGATAAAGATGATGAGAGGGTTGTGCTAATTAGAGAAAGTCCATACCTGAGTCTTGGAAAAAGACGCCACAGTTAGCCTCCCTCTATGATTGTGGATGAAGATGATGAGAGGGCAGTGGAATCAGAAAAATGGCACCAAAAAAAAAAAAAACTAGCTGTTGTTGCCTTGCCAGAAATAGCCAGTGGAATGAGAGTTATGGAAAATAAATAGTGGGATACCTAGTTTGTTGGAGACAAATTTTAGAGAGGGGCTAGCAAAATTAGTAAGAAAAAGCTTTTAAAGAGTTCCTTAGAGTTGCTCTAAGAGCCCTTGATTTGCAAAAAACACCAATGAAAGTGTGAGGCAACCATATCAGTAGTAAAAAAACTCAAATTACTAGATTTCATTCGACCACAAAAACTTCTCATGCAACACCTAACTATAATAGTCTATTTAACAAATCCTAATGAAATGATCTATGCCGTTTAGGGGATGCACCCATTGAGAAGAATGGGCAGATCCAACTTACATGAAAAAACCCAAGAAATAATTATGCATTTTTTTTTCTTTTAGCTACCATCCTATTGGACACTATCTTTCCCCCTTCTCCTTTGCATTCTATTGTATAAATTTTTAGTAAGATTTCAGTTTCAGTCATATTCTCCTCAATATAAACAATACTGCCAAAGGCAACATCTTACTGACTTTGCCGGTTAGACAGTTGAAGATGCATGAAGTGAAATGTATAGGTGGCATCACGTTACCTTGAGTGGTCTGTGGGCGTGCACATGAGTGGTCACACATGGCAGCCCACAGAATCGAGATTCCAGACAATGGAACAAAGTAAGTAATTGGTGCCTTGGCATATTGATAAAAGGTTGCACCACTACGGATGGAATGCAATAGTGGGTGCTTTGGCCTAGTAGTATAGGTGAGACTACTAAGTGGCCGGCACTATATTCAAATCCCATGGTGGGATGGATTATGGGTTTCCATCCTCATCACTAACAATCAAAAAATTTAGATTTTATGAGAGTTAATATATTACACATAAATTTTTTAAAATTTGTACGCACATAATTTTTAGACTCTTATTGTCAATATTCATTAGTATATTCCACTCAGACTTTTTAAAGTTTGTAGACGTAGAATACTTAAATCCTTTAAATTTAAAATGTTATATTTAGATAAAAAATATTATAATAAAAAATAGAATATTAAATATTTTAAATTTTGGTCAACCAATAATGGACACAATATCTTCTAACTTTAATTGGAGTAATGTCAAACTATAATGGACACAATATCTTCTAACTTTAATTATAGTAATTTAGTAGTTTAATTTGGTCATTTAAACGACCAAATTAAATTTCCATAGATATTATAATTATATACTAATTATAATTTTTTAAGAAAAAAATTAGATTTAAATTTTTAATTTTATTTCAATAAATATCATAATAGAACATGAATTCTGATCGTAATAATTAGAATGTTTGATATTCTATCTTTGATTAAAGTATTTTTTGTCTAAATATTACATTTTAAACTTGAAGAGTTTAAGTATTACACGCCTATAAATTTCAGGGAGTTTGAATATAATTTATTAACGAATATACTAATGGATATTAACAATAGGGATCTTAGTGTTATGCGTGTACAATCCTCGAGGGATTTGTGTATAATATTTCAAATGTAAAAGAGATATAAATGATTAAGTGACAAATTCCAGGGGATCTGAGTGAAATTCTCCTAAAAATCTATATAATAAAACACATAGTAGGTTTAATTTTTATCCCATACATATTTTTCCCTCTAAAAATATTACATCACCCATTTTTATCATTTGTTCAATTATTTAATATTTGATTAATTTATAGTTTAATATAATTTTTATTTTAAACATTATTTATATACAATAATATAACACATATTGAAAAAATTTAATATAGTGTGATCAATTTTTCGACGCTCGAATTTTATATTTTATCGTGCCTTCAGATACAAATTATGACTAATATAAAATAAAAGACAATGGGGGCAAAGCTATTTATACGTATGTGCCGATTATTTTTCCCGAATTAAATATACATTTAATTCTTTTTTAAAATTTCGTCCACCAAAGTATTTAAAAGGATAAATTATACTTTACTCCCTTGGACTATTATTTTTATTTTATTTTATATTTTTAACTATAAAATTTCTCATATTATACCTTAAAATATTAATTTTGTATTATTACACTTCAATAAATAACGGTTATCAATTTTATTTTATAGATAGTTTTTTCACGGACAACTTTATGGCGTGGAAGTTATGTTATGTCTCAAAGTTGTCATGTGGGAGTGTATGTGATTTTTGCCGACTAGGCTCCGATGGTGAACTTTTCTCTCAAGTTCGAACTGTTATGACGATGCTTATGTAGGAGTTTCACAACTATTACTCCCCTCGAATCTTTTTTGCTTTGCAATTTTTATTTTTTGCTCAGTTTTGGAGGTGTTAATTAATTTGAGTTTTGTAAGGTTGAGTCGAGCAAGTTATTTTTTTAAATAAATTAAAAGAATTGTTTAAATTCTTTTTGTTAAAAAATGAGTCGAACCTAAGTTGTTCGAGTAATTCGACTATTTTATATAAACGAATCGAATTTTTTTAAACTCGTTTTTCTAAACGAATATAAAATTATTCGAGCTTAATTTATTTAGAATACGAATTTCAACTTGAGGCGAATGGTATCTGAATTAAACCCAAACCAAATTCAAGTAACTGAGATTAATGCCCTCCTCAACCCTGCTGTATTGTTAATTACCGCTATTTTTCCTTTTTAATATCAAAATAATTTTTCTTTTACATTTGTTTTGTCACACTTCACTTCCCTCGCATCACCCCTATGTGACCCCACTCCCAAGTCCCCAAAACCAAACACACCCCTTTTGGCTCCCACCGTACGGTGACTTCTTTTATGCGCCGATAACAAACATCTCCGACTACGACTTCTCCGATCTCTGTCTCCGGACGTCTCTGCTGCAAGCTACACTGACATCATCATCGTCTTTCACTTATCACCTGCACCAATCACCGGCATACCCTACTCCTAATTTGGGGCTTCGGATTTTCAAGGCTTAGGGTTTTAAGTTTTGTGTCTCATCTTCCTGGAAGGTCAAATGAGTAGCTCTAGGGAGACCTCACCAGATTGGCTTCGTTGTTTCCAGGTATTTCACTTAATTTTTTTGGTCGAAATTCAAATTTGGTATTTCACATGTATTGGCGGTTGCTTTCCACTATATATGGAAAACTCATCATTACTCCAAAGGCATTGATGATTTTGCTATATAATAATGTCATATATGAAATTGATCAGGAATTTCAAGCATTTACAGTAACACACAAAAAAATTCGTGCATCTGTGTCGTGAAATTGTATTTGGACTGAATCGAGATGCATACCGCCAGTGCTCGCGTGTGTAGATCTGCTGGAATTAAAGAACTTATTCATGGACTGTGATGATACCTAGAATAAATTCTAAGTATGAGCTCGGGTGCGGAGGTCAGATAAAATGGCCAGAACTCCGTGATCCAGACCTCGAGCTCCACTCAACAAGCTCCCTTAAAGGAGGCTATAAGGGAAATGAGAAGGAAATAGCTGGTCAACGGAAGGCACCTCCGAAGCAACAGAAGGCTATGATCGAGGCACTAAACTCTCAACTGACCAACATCATCTCCCAAAATCAAGGGAGATCCTGCAGATGGAAGGTGAAGATCTTGCTGGAGATCCCATAAAGTTAGGAATTAGACTATAAATAATGTACTGAGCCTCCAATGCGAGGCAAGAAACCCTAGCGGAAATACTTTGTAAACCACATACAGAAAAAAAATACAGGATGAAGGGGCAAGAAACTCCATTAAACAGTGGATTAGCCCAGCTCCCGAATTAGGTGGACCACTGTAATTTCACTGTACAAATTATTCCTGTTCCCCAAGAGCCTTGCCACGATCCTCACGAGCCTTGTAACTCAGATTCACACTAGCTTATTCGATCCATATATACTGTCCATCCTCATAATTACACCATCAGACTGTATGTTTATTGTAATATTATAAGATTTTATATCAGCTATTGGTATTGGTATTTTTGTGATGAATTTTGTCCTTTCCTAGAAGGATTGAGTTGTCTTATGCTTAATCTACTAATTTTTTTGTTTGATGCGCGAAGTTAATTTTTAACAGGCACCAACTCAATCAGCTCTATCATTGTCGTTGGCCTCCCAGTCTCCTCCAGAGGACAACACTGTAAGCGAGGATGAGGATAGTTTGAGTATCAAAAAATTAATCCAGAAAGAAACATCTCATTCTTCTGAGAAAAACAACTCCCAAGACACTGGGGAGTCTCCAGTTAATAATACTCTAAAAGCAAAGTCCCGCAGCAAGAGTAAAAATAAGAAAGCAGATCTCACACCTTCAAAAAAGAGGAAAAGAGACAAAGAAGGTAAAAAGATTGTGGGTGCTAATTTAACTGTACTGTAGGGTTTATATATGCAATATCAAGCCATATTGCATATGAATATATTAAGAATATTCTAACCATGCGGCAGATAAAGAAATCACAATTTGACTCGAAGCCTTTAAAGAGTGGAGTTTGACATGATTTTGACTTCACAGTTTCCTTTTCTTTTTAGAATGAAAACATAGATTCCTTCCCGTGTTCTAATATATTTCTTCTTGGTAATGCTGCAGGGAATGGGGTTGATGGGGAAGTTGCAAAGAAAGAGACGTCTGTGAAGACTACAAAACCTCATGTAAGAAGCTCTGCACTGAAAATGCTTATTTATTGTCTGGTTTGGAGTGTGTAATGAATTTTCCTTAGAGATAAGGAGGTTCCATTTTCCACCTATATAGCATATTTGTGTAGTTTACAGTTGTATTTCTGTAGCTTGATGCACATGTATCAAGGCAGATTGTCTATTTGTTTTTGACACGACTCACTCACTGGTGGGATGTACAAATGAGGAACGTCTTATTTTATTGATGGATACCTGTAGGCATATTGTATTGTGTACCATTCACTCAAGTTTAGGAAATAGTCAAGGTATTAAACTTCTTTTTAGTCAATTTTGTGGGAAAAATGAGCAGTTGCATTGCTTATAGAAGGTGAAACTGAAAACTCTTATAGCATTAGCATTAATTTCAACGGATGCTAAGTTGATATATGTCTGAATGGAATTTGGATTGTGGAGTTGATAGAATAATATCCTTGGTCCTTTGGGCCAGGACACCAGGACACCATTCAGAGATATATTGCTTGGTGAGTAGTTACTAATCAAATTTTGGGATAAAATAGTAGCCACAAAACATCAAGGGTATGAGTAAGCCTGAAACAAAATCTATCAGAAGCTTAAAATAGGAAACTGCATGTCATTTGCTCATCACCAGTCCTTGTGTACAACCTCTTCATCTGCATGGAAATGCTGTCTGTCCTTGAAGTTGCTGATACATTGGCCAAGGGAATGTGTGTTGGACAATATTATGGGAGGCATCATTAAGGTACTAAGGTAGGTTCATCCCAATGACATCAGGGTGTTGATCCAAGCAAAAGCTAAGTTCTCAAATGGCAGGAGAAGGAATGAAAGGAAAATTTTATATATAAATTGAAGTCTACTACAAAGGTGCTTAGAAGGACTATTTACAAGAAAATATCACCATAAACCCTAATAATTTTAATCCTAGGTGGTCAGAATAACTGATAATCTTAATCATATAAATTAGCAAAAATAATCTTAAGGTGGCTGTAGCATACTACTTTAATATGTGAGTGCATGGGAATGCACAAGTCCTTCATGAATAGTGGTGACACACTGGAGTAAATTTAACAGTAGCACTGGTTTCTCATGAATCACGAGCAAATGGTTGTGCAGATACACCCAATAAGATGTAGGTTCACCAAGGATCCAAACATACTGGTCATTTGTGCAGTACTCTCTTAAGGCCAAAAGTAGTTAGCCTGATATCAGGTATTGATTTTTGTTACTCAATCAATATCGGAACTTCACTGTGTATTTTCAGTAATCAGCCTGCACATATTACTCAGCTCAAAAGAGCCTCTGTCCCAACTATTTTGGCCGAGATATTTCCTTCCTCGGTTAGCACCATGAGGTGTCAAATTATGTCGAGTTGTGTGCACCTCTAGCATCCAGATTCTATGCACATTTTCAATCTGTGACATAGTTATGCTAGTCTTCCTTTGCATAATAGTTTTATCAAGTTCACTGGGTTTCGGGCTCTCTGCAGCGTTTCAAATGTCCCAAATTTGGTATGTCTCGCCGTGTACATCATAATAATCTTGGTGTTACATTTCTAGTGGAATTAAAGTGGCTTGCTAGTTTGTAATTTATTATCACGTTGTCCATACTAATTGTAAGAAAGTGCTTTCATGAACAGGAAACAAAGCATCCAGTTTGGACATTGTCATCAGATTCTGAATCTTCTCCTGATACCATCTCTGTAAGGGAGCACAACTCACATCATGAGGAATTATCTGCACATGAGATTGGTGGACAGTCTTCACTTAAGGAGGCCTCTAAAGTGAAATCTCCTAAAAAACAGCTCAAAACAGAGGATCATATACCCAAAAAAAGGCAGAAATTAAGCAGCCATATGAACAAAGAAGGTATGGAGGCTGAATTTACAGGCCTGAGGTTCCTTGATGATTCCGAACCGAAGTACAAAGGTTTCAGATGAATGACCATAAAACCTCTTATCAAGTTCACGAGTCTATAATAAAAATTGTACCCCCCCTTCTTTCTCTGTGTCACATGCTGGCTATGCATTTTTGTAAACCTAAATTATATGAAATGTTCAATGATTGTGCAGGTAATGATGGTGAAATGGAGCTTGTGGAAGATGAAATAACCGAGAAGCATATTGGACCTTCTGTCAGAATCTTCTCTAGCTGTGAAAAGTAGTTTGTTACGTCATTTAGATTGAGGGAATTACCTGACTACACATAATCTGCAGGTTTCCTCTTCAAGGCTACCTTTGGTGCTGTCTGAGAAAGTGCAGCGCTCAAAGGTAGGCCCAGCTATTATAGTGGTCATTGTAATATGGTTATTTGTATTTGCCTTCTCCTCAGAATCTGTTTCAAGAGTCTGAGTTGCAATATCACAGTTAGTGTTGAGCATGCCTGAATCCACCTGTGCTATGAGGTTTTACATTCCCTATCCTCTTCCCTCTCTGGAAGTTGAACTAAATAACTTCTGTCTCTGGGACAAGGATAAACTATAAGCAGGGGAGAAGCATTACTAGGTGATTGTATGTCCTCGATTGTTTAGTTGCTTAATTATAATAGGATCTCTTTGGTAATCATGCACTTGTCGAACCCATCATGTATGCTGCTTTAATTGCATACTTATGCTCCTCTCTTAGGTGCCTGTTAGAGTGTTATTCTTTTTATCTAACAGATTTACCTTTGCATACTACTAGTAAGAGTTCTGTATGTGTGCAGGCACTTGTGGAGTGTGAAGGTGAATCCGTAGATTTGAGTGGCGATGTGGGTGCTGTTGGACGGATAATTATTTCAGATAACCAATCAGGGAACCAGGAAATGCTCTTAGATTTGAAAGGCAGGTGTTATTCCTGTAATAGTGTACGTAGTTAACGTTTTGCTAATTATCTGTGATTTGCATTATTGTGTATGCGACTAATCATCGCTGCTCACAATTGATAGAGTTGTTGAACCAGTTGCTGATGATACTTATTTCATTTAATGTCTAAGTGGATATGATGTGCTGTTGAAAAATATTGTTCCACTAAAATTTGGCACTTACTCGGCATTGTCAGTTACATTTCATCACTATGATGATCCTCTACTTTCTTTTCATGCACTTATTACTAACTTTTATAATGCGCTTTAAAAGAAAATTTGACACCAGTACTGTTTTGGTGAAAGTCTTCACATCTGGTTGTTTTATAAACTTGCTACTTCTTTTGCATGTTTCATATACCCTCACCTGATCTGATTTATTTGATTTGGTTTATGTTTCAGGAACCATATACAAAACTACCATTGTTCCTTCGAGGACATTCTGTGTTGTACGTCATTAATCTCCAAATTTTGACCCTAGACATTAGTAGCCTGAAACTATGTGACTGGCATAAGAAGCGTGCTAGAAAACTCTAGATTCACTCTTCTCTCTCTGTGTATTATGTACAACACACTCATAATTTCTATGTCCTGAATGACTTGATCTCTATGATATAACATGTTTTGGTTCATTGTTCAGGTTAGCTTTGGTCAGTCAGAAGCAAAGGTTTGTTGGCTAAATACTTGTTTTCTCTTCCATTTTTAGCTTTGATGCATCTTTTGTTCCCCTTCCCACTCTCCCTCTCCCTCTTCCACATTCATACTTCTTCTCATATGATTGCTTCTCCAATTCATGATTTTCTGATCCTCTTGTTGCTGCTTTTATTATCTTAATGTGGTTTAGAAATGAACAAAAAAAATGTGGGAGAAGAACCAAGAACCACGAACCATGACTTTATTTGATTTACTTACTCAGCATCGTACATTTTTCTGATTAGGTAGAGGCTATCATGAATGACTTTATTCAGCTGAAACCACAGTCTAATGTCTATGAGGCTGAAACCATGGTGGAAGGTTAGGATTACTTTCGAGGGCTTCTGTTGGCATACATACATTCAAGATGGCACTTTTAATGTTCTGAATAAGAATACATTTACTGCCTCCTTACATTCAATTTACATTCATTTTTTCTGCATGAGTAGGAACACTGGATGGATTCTCATTTGATTCAGAAGATGAGGCTGACAAGATGCCTAAAGTCGTTACTCATCAAACTGACCAGAATGAGGAAGCTGAGAAGCAATCCAATGGAAAACCTAGAAAAAAAGCCGAGAAAACCTCGGTATGTTTTAGAACTACATCCTGTCATCAGAGCTTTATGTTTTGAAGCAATGTCATGGTCCATGTATGCTAATTTGGAAGTGTCGATTCAGGGGGCAGCACGGAAAAAGGGGAAAACTGCTGGAGGGAAGTCGCAGAAGAAAGTAAAAAGGAAACCTCAAGTTTCAAGGAAAGGGAAGACAAAGAAATGAGAGATGAACGTATATTATGCTTTTTTTTTTAAAAAAAAAAAAATTCCTCAATTTTGTTTTATTTTGCTATTTTTATGTATTCTAACCGAACCAGCAAATCTCAAAACGGCTGACAGCAGTTTTCATAGGTAGGGACGAACTAGAGAAACCACTGGATTACTGTCTAGTGAAAATTGTTGTAATAGAGGTGCGTTTTGTGGAAAATAAAATATATTTTACATCTATAAGGACGTTCATGGGCTGGGTTAGGCTATGAAAATTTTTTTGGGCTGGGCTTGGATAGGGCAAGTTGAAGCCATTATTTGTGTGACTTATTAGGTGGGCTGAGCTGGGTTTAAGCTGGGTTTCAGATAGGAATAGACTATCCGAAACTCAACCTGCTATCTGGGTGGGCCCTGTGGGTAGATTTTTTTTAAGTTTACACCTTCCTTTAAATTTTTTTCAACTTAGTATTATTATAAATTGTATACTTGAATTAAAAGTGGAGTTAAAGTGGATAAAAAATAAAAAATAATTTTATGTGAGGAATTATTTAATATTTTAAAAAATAATGAATAATAAATAATATTTAGATTATTCAACTTAGAATTTAAGTAAATAAATTTTCTTTTTTGAAGAATACGTCACTCCCAACTTTCAATGGTCAAATTATATTCAAACAAAGTTGGTGGATGGGGCGATGGGCTGGGTGAGCGGGTTCTTGGGTTGGTGGATGGGGTGATGGGCTAGTGAGTGATTCTTGGGCCGAGTTTTAATGAATTTTACAGGTTGGCTAATGGGCTGAATTTTGGGTTAAATAATAATGAGCTTGGAGGTAGGCCCAAGTCCACTTTTGAATGATATATGTGCTTAGGTTTGATGGGTCAGTTATCGGGCCCATTAAATGTTGGACTGGATGAGCGGATTCTTAGGTCAAGTTTTAATAAATTTAATGGGTTGGCTAATAGGCTAAGTTCTGGGCTTGGAGGTGGGCCTCTCAAATGTTGGTTTGGATGAACGGATTCTTGGGCCAAACTTCAATGAATTTTAAAGGTTTAATGGGTTGAGTTTTGGGCTTACAGACAGGCCCAAGCCCACTCCTAAAAATATTAGGATTATTCCAACGGGCCAACTACCATGCCTACTTTTTCAGGCCAGGGTCTTGTGGGTCAAACCAACCCATGGACAGCCCTAACATCAAATTGAAAAATAAAGCCACAATTATGCAATATTTTTGGCCAAACCAATTCACAAAAAAAAGGTCATACAAGAAAAATAAAGCAAGAATGAGGAGGAAGCTCGACGTGGAATGTATAGCAGAATCCTTGAGAATGAAACAGTTCTTCTAATCTCTCCAATTCTGCTTTTCTATGATAGATGGGAGCTGTTAATCCGCTGTTTGATCTCTTGGTCCTGCGTTACAAAATTAACAAAATTGACAGCAGGGAAGGAACTTGTCAACTGAGAAATGGTAGGGTTTGCATCATATTTATGATATAAAAACAAAGTCTAAGTAGAGATAATAAACACCATATCAAAGCAAGCCAGAAGAGTTGGATACAAATAAGAGATAATACCCATCAACGACAGGGCAAAAAATGATGGTACACTCATAAGCATTGAATATGAAAGTTTTGATGCTATCACCAAATCCATAGGTGCAGGCCATTGGACCAGCTGTCTTGAATGTAGCCGGCATGTTGATGGGTTAGCAAACCCCTCACTGCAACATTATTTCCTGTCTAAATGCCATGCCTTGCATCCACCATAGACCACTCTTGGATGCAGCAACTAGTGTAGTGGTAGAATGTTACTGTCGACCCTGCTAACATTGTACGAGTCTTTTTGCCTCCTCTGTTCCGAGGGCAGTTTCAAAGAGTGATGCAGCCATGCAGGTGGAATCTAAAGCCTTACTGTCATAGTCACCAAAGAAGAAAGCTGCTGGAAATGTAAGCTGATAGACCTGCACCAAGAGTGCATAAATGAAATGGAAAGTTGGAAGTATGCCCGAATGAGGATATGCAATAGATATTCCCAAGAAAAACTCACCCCGTTGAAGGCCATAAAACAGAGAGATCACAGGAGAGCCCCACAAAGATAGCTCTGTACCACCCAGAAAAAAGGTTTAATGACAAGAAATGTTTTAATGGAGCACATCAACACAAGTAGTATTACTCTACTATGAGTATACTGGATAGGGCAAACAAAATCTGCTCCCTCTGGAGAACCACCGTAAGCTTCCTAAGAACATCCAGTGAGTAGAAGTAACCAGTGGTTCAGCCCTCTAGCATGCTTTTACCATCAAATCAGAGAAGGTGAACACACAAGCACATTGACAGCTGAGCTGGATAGACTTCTTACTGCATATGAGGTAATGAGGGGTTCAGTTCTATCATATGACCATCCAGTTCATACAAGTAACTGGTGGAAGTAACCAGGAGTCGGCCCTCAGCATGCTTTAACATGAACACAACGATAACAGCACCTAAACAGAACACACAAGCACATTGACAGCGGAGATGGATAGGCTTCCTTACTGCATCCATCATAAATTCTTCATCAAAGGCGAGAACATGATTGAAGAAGTTCAATCTGAAAGGCCGGGTCAACTCTATTTGTCAGCTTCAGCAACAGCAACAGAACTCAATGGTGGAACCAACAGGCAGCCAGGCCATATTTCCAGTTCATCAGCATTGTCCGGTAAGCCTGCTTTCAGCACCACAACAAATAGCAGAATACTCTCCTGCATTGATAAAGGATGAACAAATTTATCAGAAACCATCCATTTAACAAATTTCTAATGCAGAATGGTCATTTTTTAACACAAAATAAGCTATTTCAGATCTGCTTACGAGCATATGCTTCAACTCCTGCAAAAATAACATGAATTTCAGCAACCAATGAATTATTACAAGAAGATAAACATAGATAAACAAAACATTATGCAATATAAAAAGCGAGATAGTGGTTTGCTCTCCTCTTCAACCTGAAATACAGCTGTAGAAGTATAGGAATTCAAAATTCAGATAAGTTTCCACCAGATGACAAACAAGAAGTTCGCTGCATTTGAACTGTTACACCCTTGTGAAGCACGAGCTATACAGCATAAGTATCGTATGCATCATCAACCCAATAAGAACCTCCCAAAGGATTGGAACAGAGACAAAACAAATGACAAAAATCAATCAAAGCAGAGTACTTCATAAAAAACCATGCCCTTCTAGTCAAATCAATCCAAGTGGTGCAGTGGTTCCAAAAGTAAGGAACTTGAAAAGGCATAAATTAGGAAAGGGCAGGGTGAACAACAATTGAATTCAGCGCAAGTCATTCTATGATAGAAAAATTGACAAGTTGAGTACAGAAAAACACAACCACGTCTAGAACAGTAAGCACCAAGGCACAGGGAAGAAGAAACTATATAAATCTGACTGCTTTAGTATAACCAACAATGTGTCATCAAATAAAGAAATTAAGGCACATCTTCGACAAGAATCCCGTACTTCTCATATCTTAAGCTTCGAAGAAGTACAGAGTGCACCCAAGAGTGATAATAAAGTTAACAGTGATATAGCATAGTTAATTTCCGACAAGAAGTAAAGTTATGAAGAGCTACAATCCATTTCTCGCGATGCAAAATAAAAGCTGTCCCTACAGATAGGAAGGACTCTCAAGTCCACCTTTTAGGAGCCAACATCAAGTTCTGTTATTCATACTAGTCCCGTGAAAAAAAGAAATAGACAAAATGGATGGTTATCAGTTATAATGTCTAGCTCATATCCATTCCATCTCCAATTTGACTGCAGATTGGACCAACAGCAGAGAACGATCTCTCAAAAGGAGAAGGATGGAATTGTGCATTCCGTCTGCGCTTAAAAGCGCAGCCGTCAGAGGGGGAACTCTCAGCATCCAGCTTCCTACGGACACCTTTCACTGCCTGTTCCTCAGCCACTGTTAGAGGGAAAATCTGCCTGCTCACTCGGCAAAGGGAGCTATGGTTATCATACAGAATTCTCTGGTTACAGTTTTTGTCACAGATGTGTGTGAGCCCTGTTAGTTTGCAGCGGTACATATTTCCACATATAAGTTCATTTTCACATTTCCAATCGCATCTGTGATCAGGGTTTGGCCCATCTTGGCCTAGAATACTTGACAGATAAATAACGTTTGTAGGCATGGTTATGCCTACCATAAATTTGCCAACGACCTCCATTGGTTCCACGGATCAGAAAACCTAGAAGTCTTTATGAGAATTCCACACTCGATACCCTTGCCCCAAAAATGTTCTGCAGATTCACATGACATAAGAAATTGTCAATTTTGATGGAAAATGGCCATTGGCTGTATTAATAGTTGCTAGCAAGTTTCTCAAGTTATGTTAGCAGGAGTCTACAATGACATTTGACAACGATATTGAACTTCCCAGCAGACCTAGTCGACTGTGTTATGGATGTTAAGCCTCATCAACAGATCTCTCTCTCTCTCTCTCTCTCTCTCATATGAGCGAGAAAACTATAGAATGGATTGCATTTCAATGAGGTCCCAAATAGGAATTAATGGAATAGGCAGTTAGGGACAAAAATAATTCGGAATATTTGAACTGTATGTAAATCAGAAAACAATCGAACAAATGAGATATATAATGATATAATACGGTCAGATATCAATAATATTGAGATGAAACACAAGTTACAACCAATCAGGTTTCCAGAGTAATATCACTCCCCCGAGCCTGATGTTAATATATATCTAGCAAAGGATGTATCAATTCTTATAATCCCGTTGTATATTCCGTAAGGTTTCTGCTTGCAAGAACAAACAGGTTTGTTGTTTCCTGAAGCTAGTTCCTTAAATTATTTTCTTCCATCATTTAAATACCTACAAAATCTACTTGCCATACACTCCATCTGGCTTGAAAAATTAGCACAATTCTCAAACACTCCAATAAATAACCAAGCGCATCGAAGAACAGACAAAGAAACTGCAATGAAAACCCTAGAAAATTGAAAATGATAAAAGTCAACCATATGATTTCACATAGAAATAACTCCAGAAATCATCACAGTACTAAGAATAAAAGATAAAAAACAACACAAATACTTCGAATAGTCATATACACAACACAGAGACAAGTAAAATTACATGAAAGACATATAATATACAACTTTTACCGAGAAAAAAAATCAAAAAAAGAACGACAAATGAGAGATCCAAGAGAAACTCACCAGCAAGCAAAAAGGCTCACCAGCCTTCTCTCTATCTCTCTTTCTAAGTCTCCTCCTCCTAAGCTCCTAGTCCTCAGCAAAGAAAAGAGGCAAGAAAAGGCAAGTATTTATAGATAGAAGATAAGGTGATCCGATTCTGGGGTAGACGTTGAAGTAAATGCAGATGAAATGTAAGTGAAATTCGTGTGGAATGAAATGAGAGTGCATTACTCTTGCTTAAATTACATATATGACCTTTATATCAATTAAATACTTAAACTCTTTAATTGTATTAATTAAACTTTTTTACCTGCCTCCATTAGATGAAGTGGCCAAATGTGTCATCCATATAACACAAATGGTTAGAACAAATTAAACATATAACCCTCAAAATATGATTTTTGTATCAATTAAGTCTTTAAATCCTTTTTTTGTGTCAATTAAGTTTTTGAAATTCCTAATTATATTAATAAAGCTTTTTTATTTTTTTTGTGCTATGCACTCTAACAGATGCAGACAAAAGACACAATTAAAAATTTTAAGAACTAAATTAATAAAAAAAAATTCAAAACACTTTATTAATACAAGGTTAAAATTTGACGCTATATGTGCAGTTTACTCTTTACTCACTGTCTTAATGGTTACGGCACAAATCCACCCTCCCTCACAGTTGAGGCGCGTGCATTGTTTTTCTTGTGCGCGAATTAGAAGTGGCGAGTGAGACGGAGGTGGATTCATTGCCACGTGCCCAATGCCTCTTTTGTCTCCATTTCAACTCTTTTAGGTAACGTTCTAGACTTTTAATTGGTCGAAATTTAACCCACAATAAAGTGTGGAATTTAAATTCAAATTATATTAAATTATTAACTTTAACTTATTATTCACTTTTAATAATTCAGACCGTCCCATATTTAATCCTTTTTTTTTGGGTCAACTATTTTTATTTTTTATGCCAGTCCTATGAAGGTCCACAAATATTATTAGCCATATATGTCTTGATAGCCATACAACACGCACCAAAAAATGGTGAGACTAGCATATTTAGCCAACCGACCCTATTGATAGCCATACAACACTTAAAAACTACATTTGTAGTCGTTAAGTTCAAAAGAATAGTCAGTACAAATGTATAACCCTAAACACGTTAAAGTAATAAAAAAGTTAGAAATAATATCAAACTTTGTAATGGTATGATTTTTATGTTTAAATCAATATACAAATAGCGTGAAATTAAATAATTATGTAACAAAATATAAATGTTACTCGTTGATGATGGGGCCTAGAATAGTTCGAATTGGATCAGATGGTTATTTTATGGGCCTATATAAGCCTCAATTCTTTGTTGGACATTTTCAACAGACCTAGGCTTATAGTTGCCCCAGACTAATTGAATGTGAAACCTTCACCTAATCCACAGCAATTGATTCCACATAGACACAGAGCTCGTACAACAGTTCAATTGGACCAAGAGTCAATAGCCCATCACTGCCTAACTTTATTGAACTCTCCATTTTTCAGGATTTAGATCCTATTTAATATATTTGTTTTAATTTTTTTTATTGAATTATTAACCATTAATACTTAAATTTTATGTTGTATTGCGTCTACAGCCACAAATTATGACTATTTACGTATACCATGTATAAATGAAAGGGTAATTCTACATGATAGAAAAACTAAATTTGACCTCGTACTTAAGTTAAAATTACAAGTAGTAAAATTAATATTTAATAATCAATTATAAAATATTATGATCCATCGTAATCAACAGTAACGATACCAAATAAGTTTAGTAACGGTATTGCGATAGCATTGTTACGGAAACGTAGCACGTGAGTTCCCTGAAGCATCTACGGAGTTACATGAAGCGGCAAAGCTGTTGCAACTACCATCATTAATTACGTCACGGAAAATCAAGGGAGCAGCAATGGAGAACTCCTTTTTTCGAGGGCTTTTTGGGTGGGGGTAGGTACGGGCATCGCATGGCAAAATAAGTTCCGTTCACATACGAAACGTCCATTCTGATTTACAGCTACTTTCCATTAACCACATCTCTCTAACGTTTTACTGTACAGCGCGACATATTCGACTTGGATATGCTCAGAATTGTGTTAAGTTTATAGATCCTTGTAAATTTTGCATAATTTTTTGTAGTGAGATTGGTAAAGGCCTATTAATTGTGTCAGATGAAGCAAATTCATGTAAGGTCTTAATTAGTTCCTGTTAAAAATTATTTTTTTCATATTTGATTTGTTTATTAATTCGTATCAAATGCATTGTGTTACATTAGATTTGTGTTGTGTATAACTAATATATAAATAAATTATGTTATTTTTTTTAATTAATTTCATCTATATTCGATTTGTTTATTAATCGTGTTGTATTGAGTTCACTTATTTATAAAATCAGTGATTTAAAAAAAATTAAAAACTTTTAATTTCGTATGTTGTGTGAACCAATCGTATCATAATTTGTATAAATCCATGATATTTGATTTGTAAATAAAAAATAGAGAACATATGTACTAAATTGGACCTCATTCCCATGTAAAGCGTATTTAAGTGATTTTTTGAATTGACTTTAGGTTGCGTGGTCTCTCGTGAGTAGGGATGGCAGTGGAGTCCCCACTCCCGTGCCAAATATTTATTCACTCTTGGTCCATCTCAGGAGAAATTTTAATTCCCGCGTCTACCAACAACAATTAATTTTTATGATTTAAAGAAAATAAATTTTAAAAACCCATAAAACCTCTTAAATGGATTTGCAAAAAAATGAAAACTCGTTATGTAATAAATGAATTAAACATAAAAATTTATAAAAATAATATATATAACAAATGTGTATATTCACTTATATATATGTGTGTATATATTATATATATTACGTGTTTAACGGGACAGGAAGAGATGTATGCGAGGTGGGATGAATTTCAATCTATTTGCATATGAGTTTATACGTATACGTCTATTGTTTAATATATACAATTCATCTTCAATTCAAAAGAAACGTGTGCTCGTGCGCACTATATAAGTGTGCATACATAACGCTTGGTGTTCTACCACTTATTCCCCGATTTTACTAGGTCCACTGCACTCTGCACCCACACAGCCCCGTATTACACTAGGACTCTCTCTCTCTCTCTCTCTCGCTCTCTTTCTCTTTCTCTCTCTCTCTCTCTCTTCTTCACGAAAAAGAAATCAAGCCAAGTCGATAATCTATCTGTTGTCTCCTTAGCTTTCTGCATTTCTGGAGTCTTCATTTGAAGAACATATAACATCAAATGGAGAAACAAGTTCTTGATTACGCGTTGGTACCAGTGGGCCTCCTCATAATGCTGGCTTATCACATATGGCTTCTCTATCAGATCGTGAAGCGCCCAACTAGGACCGTAATCGGCATCAACGCCATCAACCGCCGCTTCTGGGTTCGTGCTATGATGGAGGTTCGAACACATGCATTATTTCTTTCATTTTTGTCCTGTTTTTATTGAAATTTTTGTCATGTAATAAAAATTGATGTGCTCATGAAATCATCACAAGCACACACATACATGCATAAATTCAAATGTTAGTTGGTTCAAGGGTGAAGAGTGTTTGAATCAATTTATGTATATCTTAACTAATCACTTCTTCGATTTCAGACCATCTAGCTATCAGAAGGAATAAATCTCTTCTGACCTAAACTCAAGAGGTCGTTAATATTCAAACTTGACATTTGAATTTATAAATCATATTTATTACCATCAAATTACTCAACCCATCAAAACTAGTCTGACAATTGGTCGAGCACATGGTGAAACAGTGAGCTAATTTTATAAATCACCAAGCTACTGGGGGAGTTCTATTTGAGGGAACGAGTACAGTTTTCTTTGCATATTCGTCACGATTCAATTTGGATTAAGATATAATTTTTCCAACATTTTAGAATCAATTTCAAACAACTCAGATTTTGTCTCATTGCACTATCATTTTTTTGATCTAACAGTCACTGCGATCTATTTGATATATCGTAGTCATTTCGTACATTTGATTGTCTACGTATTTACTGGTGCATATTTTAATTATATGTATATGCCAGGATGCGTCCAAGAATGGGATTCTGGCGGTACAGACACTGAGAAACAACATAATGGCATCAACCCTTTTGGCATCCACGGCCATAACGCTCAGCTCCGTCATCGCCGTCTTGATGGGCAGCTGTGGTGGCAGTCGCTCCATAGCCCTTGTCTACGGTGACAGAAGTGACCTTGGATTCTCCATAAAGTTTTTCTCTATTCTGGTATGCTTCTTGGTGGCATTCCTATTGAACGTGCAATCTATTAGGTACTTCAGCCATTCTAGCATCCTCATCAATGTCCCATACAAAACAATTTCGTCAAATTGTCATGATCATTATCAGAACTATTGCGTCTCGGCTGAGTATGTGGGGAGGATAGTAAATAAGGGGAGTTATTTTTGGTCTTTAGGCCTGCGTGCATTCTACTTTTCTTTCCCTCTGTTTCTGTGGATTTTTGGACCTATTCCCATGTTCTTGTGCTGCCTTGTCATGGTTTTCTTGCTCTATTTTCTGGACGTTATCTTTGACTTTGGCTCCGTTGATGAGGCTTCTGATCACGACGACAACCCCCATGACCACCAGGACGAGGAGGCTAATTGAGGAGAAATTTATGATTATTGTAATACTCGATGGAATAGGAGAGAGAAATTCGGATTCAATCCAAGTTGAATCGTATGGTTTACTTCTCTTATCTTAACAGAGGAATCAAATTTAATAAAACTATAAACCATTTTAGGATTACTGTTTGATGGGTTGAATCTACTGTTTTTGCTTGTTTTATTGTCAAGTGCACAGGCACATTTACAGGCAACAAGTATTATTCATGTTGCTCGATGATGGGACAATGGAATAAGGAAAAGGTGAGATGCGCTATGCTGGTTTATCTTCTTCAGGAGGGGAATGTTCCTCTATTTCTAAATGTCTCCGAACTTCAATTGGATGGAACATTCCTTGTATGCGATTCCTTGGATGGAATACACTGGAGATGTTCCATAGCCAAGAGTCATGTCACACTCACGTCTGATATGCTTGTGATTAGATCACGTAGTCTGACTGACAGCTCAAAAATTTATAAATAATTAACTTGAATTATGGTAGTTGCTCATTATTATTTTGTTGTTTTACAGGAATTATTAAAATTGCTTATTTTCACCTCAAATTTCCCATGTACCAGTTCCTCCAGCAGTGATTCCGGCACTTTGTATTTGAACCGTACTTAGGCATCTCCACAACCAAGTCTGGTAGAGGTTGGGGCCAGGTTTAACTTTTGTGTCCAATCAAAATTTACTCAATATCTTCATACACAAACAATTTATAATCGGGTTCAAATTGGATTGTATTTGTGTTGTGTTTAATTAAGTTTGTATCTCATTCATTTAGTGTATCAGTAGCGTTAGTTAAGTTACTGTAGAGTGGTTGGGCTGAGAGGCAGGGGACGAGGTAGGGGTGGGGGCAGTGGAGGCAATTGCCTCTACTGAAATTTTAAAAATTTTAGGGTTAATTTAAAATTATAATAAAAATAATTTTTTTTAATAACTTGCCCCACTAATTTTTTTTAATGAACTAAAAACTTAGACTCATGGTTTGCTCATATAAACTTATTCTCACAATGTTTTCTTTAGTTTTTAGTTATCTCTATTCTTTTTACAATAACTCACATAAATTATCGAATTAATCATTCTCCGAATTCAATTATTAAGGCATAGATTAATATTTTTGACCAATTATCCAAGTTCGAATATACATCATATTCTAATATTTTAATTGGCATAAAAAATTTTGATTTGATTATGATTCAATTCACTTTGATATGCATACACAAATTTCATATGTAAACATTTGATAAAATTAAATTAAAATTACAATGCGATATATATATAAAAAATAAAATAGGAGTGTGTTTGAATTTTATTCCAATCATATTTTCTCCCCCAAAACCATCACCAATTACTTACCTCACTCATCATCTTTTTGTCAAACTCAAACGTCAAATCACATCACTCATTTAATCATTTATATATTTCCTTCCAAAAATCACACTACTTATTTCTATTATATATTTAATTATTTAATATTTAATTAATTTGTAGTTAATATATTTTGAAAAAATTTAATATGGTGGAATTAATTTTTTGAACGCTCGAATTTTATATTTTATAGTGTTTTCAGACACGGGTTATGACTAATATATATATATTAAATTGAAATTTTGATAAATTTTATAATATTTAATGGATTTAAATATAGATTATAAAAATGAAATAAATTGAATAATTAAATTATATTTAAAATAGAATTTTCAAGATAAATTGTTATTTGAATGAGTCGAAATCTGATAAGCCCACTTGCCAAATAATATTTTTTATAAAAACTGTCTTTTTTTTTGTTCTTTATATATATATATATATATTAATTTTTCTTAGTTAAGTCCTGTCACTTTATATGTATTTATATGTGAAATCTTTGAAAGTAAAAAAAAAAATAATATGTAGAATTATTTTATAAAAAGTTTTAAATTAGATTTTTTTTTTATATAAAGAATGAAATTTTGAGAAAACAATCATGTTCACTAAATGTAACAAATTTTGATAATTGTTGTATAATCGTTTTCTTTCAAGGTTGTCTCCACCGAAAAGAGATTTTGGCTCCACCCCTGGCCGAGTCTAGTCTCTAGTAATTTAGTGGTTTCAAGTTTTACACTTTTTATACTCTCCGGTGGACAATTACCCTAATTTTTTAAGGGACATGTTTTAAGCTCTCGCTCGCACTACTATAATCAATATCTAAATTCGCTCGCACTACGATGATCAATATCTAAACTCGAGGGAATAACCTGAGCAAACTTGGATATTTTGTAACCAAAAAAAAAAAGGTTCATATCTCCTTTATAATACACTTCCTATAATTTTTTTTTTTAAAAATGTCAAATTTACCAGAATCCACTTGGCTCAGCCTTTGTTGCTTTTCAAATGGGCTCAGTTGGATGCCCTGCCCCAATGGTATCCATCTATTAGCCGAACCAGCCAGTTGTGTATACAAACAGCTCGCACTATGTGCACGGCTGACACAAAAAAAAAAAAAATTTGTACCCTTTGATATCAATTTTTTTTTCAGTAAAATTTTAAGCAGCAAAGCAAATTTGTCAAATTATATTTAATTACTATTTTACAAAAGTGAATAAGGTGATTCTCGTATATAACTACTATGCCTGTATATGTATAGAAATATTTCAAAAAACAAAACATAACCAGACATTACTGATAAAGTACTTTAAAAAACAAAACGTACTTAAAAAATTGCATTAGGTAGCTATACCAAAATGAGAAAAGTGGTCTGGTCCAATTTGAAGTGATATTCAAGCCCTATGGTCTTGCCTTTGATTCCGGGTAATTCTTTATCTATCAAATTTGTACACCAAATCAATTGCAGTTATTTAATCAGGGATAGAACTCACTAATCCACCGAAAGCAAATTTTGGTGCACATAACATTGCTCTTCCCTACTATTTTCTTTATGGACCTTTAACAACTAACTATGTTATCAACTCGGTCATGATCTGTACTAAATTATAACCATGGTCATAGAGGATTAAAAGGGTTTTTGTACCTTTCAACGTTGTGGGCTGAGCTCAGTCGAGTCTTTAGAAGCCAATACGATTTCAGCTGTTAAGCTCATGCAGAGGTCACCATGGCATGCGGGCTGGAATTAAATATGGCCCCACATCCACACTTCTCGTTGATACTTAAAAGAGTAATAGGTGAAACCTAACGTAAAGGGCTACCCGTTTTTATATGTTAATATTTTCCGCAAAACGAAGAGAGAAATCAAACTAGACTACAGTTAGTAGGGTAGGACTTCGACACCGAAGGTTACAAATTTTTGGATCCAATTACAACTAAACAGGGCCAAGCTACGACACAAAATATTAAGATCGATTCTAAAATGTTAAGATTGTTCATAACATCCATATCTCAAACGATATTGTTTTGTTATAACTTGACCCAAAGAGTATTACTCTTTGAGATATAATTGAAGTAAAGGTGCTGGTCTCTAAATACAAAGAATTTAAGGGGTCAAGATGTCAACGTGCAATTGTTGGGATTCGGCAATTGTCCTTTCTTTTCTTTTTCATTTCCCCCCTTCACTTTGGGCTTCCAGTGATTGCAACATGTGCTTCCTTAACATCCAAACCAAAGTGCATAGAACATGAAGCAGCAAACCTGTTTGCACATCATCAATTACATCATGAAAATCTATAAACAAAGCACAACTACTCCAAAGAACTTAATAAATTTTCCTTCCGCTTTCCCTTGTTAGGTCCCAGGCTACTTCCTTCCCAGTAAAACACCAGAAACTATCTATTATATTTAGTGTATATGCCGCTGGATTTCCTTTAATTTACATAAATAGCGCTGGGTGTTCTGCCCCTGGTTCCCAGAACAGTCCACACCCATACATGACTCTGATTCTTTCTTTTTCTCTCTCCCCTTCACACTTGAAGAACAGGGAAAGAGAGAAAAGCAAGAATATAGAGATAGGGCTAGAGAGACAATAGGCTGATAGATCACCGCTATATTTCATTTTAGTTTGTAAAACACAAAAGAAAATATAATCATCGGATGGAGAAACAAGTTCTTGACTACGTGTTAGTACCAACAGGCCTCATGTTAATGCTGGTTTATCACCTGTGGCTACTCCATCAGATCGTGAAGCACCCCACTAAGACCTTTATAGGCATCAACGCCATCAACCGTCGTTTCTGGGTGCATGCTATGATGGAGGTTCGCATGCATGCATTCATTTATCCATTTTTCGTTCATTTGGTCCTGTATTATTATGCTATTTAATTCTGTCGGGCAACAGTCATGATCACGAAATCATCACAAGTACAAAAATACGTGCATGAATTTATATGCTAGATAGTAACATTACCAAATATCTATCAGTCAAGCCCGTAAAAGCTACTAGACAATGAATAGGGCACATGGAGAACCAGTGAGCTGATTACCTCTTATCAGGGGCATTGTTGACAGTCTTTGTTTTTCATATGCATGCATATAACTGAATATCTATCTGGACTGAAGCAGATTCGGGATAAATATGGCAGGACGTGTCCAAGAATGGGGTTCTGGCTGTACAGACAATGCGAAACAACATAATGGCATCGACTGTTTTGGCATCCATGGCCATCATGCTCAGCTCAGTCATCGCCTTGTTGATGGGCAGTGCTGGTAGCAACCGCACAACTGGCATCGTCTATGGAGACAGAAGTGAGCTTGGATTCTCCATAAAATTCTTCTCTATTTTGGTGTGCTTCTTGCTGGCATTCCTGTTGAATGTGCAGTCTATTAGATACTTCAGCCATTCTAGCATGCTTATCAATGTACCCTACAAAAAGATATCATCAAACTGGGATCACCATCATCACAATTATTGCGTCTCGGCTGAATATGTGGGAAGGACGGTGAACATGGGGAGTTACTATTGGTCTCTAGGCCTGCGTGCATTCTACTTTTCTTTCCCTCTATTTTTGTGGATCTTTGGACCTATTCCTATGTTTTTGAGTTGTCTTGTTCTGGTTTTCATGTTCTTTTTCCTGGACGTCACCATTGACTCTGGCCGGGTTGCTGGGGCTTCTGATGACGAGGACCACCACCATGACCACCAGGACGAGGAGATTCGTTGAGGAAAGGTCGGCCATGCT